GTGGTCCCAGTCCTCCTGCATGACGGCGAGTGTAGGAGTGTAGGAGTGTACGAGTGTAGGAAGGTAGGAGTGTACGAGTGTAGGAAGGTAGGAGTGTACAAGTGTAGGAGTGTAGGAGTGTATGAGTGTACGAGTGTAGGAGTGTACGAGAGTACGAGTGTACGAGTGTAGGAGTGTACGAGTGTATGAGTGTACGAGTGTAGGAAGGTAGGAGTGTACGAGTGTAGGAGTGTAGGAGTGTATGAGTGTACGAGTGTAGGAGTGTACGAGAGTACGAGTGTAGGAGTGTACGAGTGTAGGAGTGTAGGAGTGTACTAGTGTATGAGTGTACGAGTGTATGCGTGACATCATCTACTGTACCAAAGTGGTCCCAGTCCTCCTGCATGACGGCGAGTGTACGAGTGTAGGAGTGTAGGAGTGTACGAGTGTAGGAGTGTACAAGTGTAGGAGTGTAGGAGTGTACGAGTGTAGGAGTGTAGGAGTGTAGGAGTGTAGGAGTGTACGAGTGTACGAGTGTAGGAGTGTACGAGTGTAGGAGTGTAGGAGTGTACGAGTGTAGGAGTGTAGGAGTGTAGGAGTGTACGAGTGTAGGAGTGTAGGAGTGTACGAGTGTAGGAGTGTAGGAGTGTACGAGTGTAGGAGTGTAGGAGTGTAGGAGTGTAAGAGTGTAGGAGTGTAGGAGTGTACGAGTGTAGGAGTGTAGGAGTGTACGAGTGTAGGAGTGTAGGAGTGTAGGAGTGTACGAGTGTACGAGTGTACGAGTGTAGGAGTGTAGGAGTGTAGGAGTGTACGAGTGTAGGAGTGTAAGAGTGTAGGAGTGCACGAGTGTATGCGTGACATCATCTAATGTACCAAAGTGGTCCCAGTCCTCCTGCATGACGGCGAGTGTACGAGTGTACGAGTGTAGGAGTGTACGAGTGTAGGAGTGTAGGAGTGTAGGAGTGTACGAGTGTATGCGTGACATCATCTACTGTACCAAAGTGGTCCCAGTCCTCCTGCATGACGCGAGTGTACGAGTGTACGAGTGTAGGAGTGTACGAGTGTATGCGTGACATCATCTACTGTACCAAAGTGGTCCCAGTCCTCCTGCATGACGGCGAGTGTACGAGTGTACGAGTGTAGGAGTGTATGAGTGTAGGAGTGTACGAGTGTATGCGTGACATCATCTACTGTACCAAAGTGGTCCCAGTCCTCCTGCATGACGGCGAGTGTACGAGTGTAGGAGTGTAGGAGTGTACGAGTGTAGGAGTGTAGGAGTGTAGGAGTGTGTAGGAGTGTACGAGTGTAGGAGTGTACGAGTGTACGAGTGTAGGAGTGTAGGAGTGTACGAGTGTAGGAGTGTACGAGTGTAGGAGTGTACGAGTGTACGAGTGTAGGAGTGTAGGAGTGTAGGAGTGTACGAGTCTACGAGTGTAGGAGTGTACGAGTGTAGGAGTGTAGGAGTGTAGGAGTGTAGGAGTGTACGAGTGTAGGAGTGTACGAGTGTACGAATGTAGGAGTGTAGGAGTGTACGAGTGTAGGAGTGTAGGAGTGTACGAGTGTGTAGGAGTGTACGAGTGTAGGAGTGTACGAGTGTACGAGTGTAGGAGTGTAGGAGTGTACGAGTGTGTAGGAGTGTACGAGTGTAGGAGTGTACGAGTGTACGAGTGTAGGAGTGTAGGAGTGTACGAGTGTAGGAGTGTAGGAGTGTACGAGTGTACGAGTGTAGGAGTGTAGGAGTGTAGGAGTGTACGAGTGTACGAGTGTAGGAGTGTACGAGTCTACGAGTGTACGAGTGTACGAGTGTAGGAGTGTAGGAGTGTACGAGTGTGTAGGAGTGTACGAGTGTAGGAGTGTACGAGTGTAGGAGTGCACGAGTGTACGAGTGTAGGAGTGTACGAGTCTACGAGTCTACGAGTGTACGAGTGTAGGAGTGTACGAGTCTACGAGTCTACGAGTGTACGAGTGTAGGAGTGTACGAGTGTAGGAGTGTAGGAGTGTAGGAGTGTACGAGTCTACGAGTCTACGAGTGTAGGAGTGTACGAGTGTAGGAGTGTACGAGTGTAGAAGTGTACGAGTGTATGAGTGACATCATCTACTGTACCAAAGTGGTCCCAGTCCTCCTGCATGACGCGAGTGTACGAGTGTACGAGTGTAGGAGTGTACGAGTGTAGGAGTGTACGAGTGTAGGAGTGTACGAGTGTATGCGTGACATCATCTACTGTACCAAAGTGGTCCCAGTCCTCCTGCATGACGGCGAGTGTACGAGTGTACGAGTGTAGGAGTGTATGAGTGTAGGAGTGTACGAGTGTATGCGTGACATCATCTACTGTACCAAAGTGGTCCCAGTCCTCCTGCATGACGGCGAGTGTACGAGTGTAGGAGTGTAGGAGTGTACGAGTGTAGGAGTGTAAGAGTGTACGAGTGTAGGAGTGTACGAGTGTACGAGTGTTCGAGTGTAGGAGTGTACGAGTGTAGGAGTGTACGAGTATATGCGTGACATCATCTACTGTACCAAAGT